GTTTCAGAAGGTAGAGGAAGTGGCCAGGGGGACCAGCCATCTTAGATTTAATTCTGACTAAGTGGAAGGAATTGGTATCGAATCTGAAGTTGGAAGGCAATTTGGGTAAAAGTGATCACGAAATGATAAGCTTTATTATTCTGAAGAGAGGAAGGAGTGAAAGCATCAGAAGAAAGGCAATGGATTTCAAAAGGCAGACTTTAACAAACTCAGAGAACTGGTAGGTTAGGTCCTACGGGAAGACAATCTAGGGGAAAAAGCAGTTCAGGAGAGCTGGCAGTTTCCTAAGGAGACAATACTAAAGGCAAAACTGCAAACCATCCCAAAGTGAAGGAAAGATAGGAAGAGGCAATTAGGACTCCATCAGGAGCTCCTTAATGACCTGAACATCAAAAAGGGATCCTACAAACAGTGGAAACATGGACAAAATGCCAAGGAGGAGCACAAAAGAATAGCATCATCTGTTGGGACAAAATCAGAAAGGCTAAGTCACAAAGTGAGTTAGACCTGTTAAAAGAGGTTCTTTAAATACAATAGGAGCAAGAGAAAGATAAAGGAAAGTATAGCCCCTCTCCTTAGTAGGGATGGAGAGCTAATATCTGATGATATCAAGAAGGTTGAGGTATTTAATGCCTATTTTGGTTCAGTCTTCACTAAAAAGGTTAATGGTGACCAGATACTCAACACAATTAACATCAGCAATAAGGGGGAAATGAATGAAACCCAAAATAGGGAAAGAACACATTAAAGAGTATTTAGATAAGTTAGATGTACTCCAGTCAGTGGGGCCTGAAAAAATTCATCCCAGGAACCATTCGTAATTATCTCTGAGAACACCTGGAGGGTGAATGAAATTCCAGAGGACTGGAGAAGTGCAAACATAGTCCTTCTCCGGGTTCTCTTTGTTCCCCTTTTTAAGGATAATATAGACCAGATATCCTAACCTCAATACTGGGGGGAAATATTAGAACAAATTATTGTTTTGTAAGCACCTAGAGGAAAATAGTATTCTAAAAAAGAGCCAGCATTGATTTGTCAAGAAGAAATCATGCCAAACCAACCTGATTTCTTTCTTTGTCAGGGTTATTGGTCTAGTGAATAAGCGGGAAGCAATAGAGGTGATATATCTTAATTTTTAGTAAGGCTTTTCACACAGTCCCACGTGACATTTTCACAAGCAAACTAAGGAGATGAAATTGCTATACGATAGGTGCACAACTGGTTGAAAGAACATACACAAAGCGTAATTATCAGTGGTTCACTGTCAAACAGCAAGGGAATATCTAGTAGGGTTTCACAAGGGTCAGTCCTGTGTCTGATATTATTCAATCTTTTCATTAATGACTGACTGGGATAATGGAGTGGACAGTATTCTTTTAAAATTTGCTGATGACACCAAGCTGGGAGAGGTTGCAAGCACTTTGGAGGACAAAATTAGAATTCAAAACGACCTTAGCAAATTTAGCCTGAATTCAACAAGTTGAAATTCAATAAAGACAAGTGCCATGGGCTTCATTTAGGAAGGAAAAAGCAGCGGTTCTCAAACTTTGTTTTGATGACCCCTTTCACCCAGGAAGCCTAAGTGCAGCCCTCCTTATAAATTAAAAATACATTTTTAATATTTAATACTATTATAAATGCTGGGGCAAAGCAGGGTTTGGGGATGTAGGCTGACAGCTCGCAACCCCACGTTATAACCATGTGACCCACTGAGGGGTCATGACCCCCAGTTTGAGAACTCCTGGGCTAGGTGGTAGTATTGCTGAAAAGGATCTGAGGGTTAGAGTGGATTGCAAATAATATGAATCAATAATGTGATGCTGTTGCGAATTCTTCTGGGATCTATTTACACATGTATTGCATGCAAGTCACCGGAGGTAATTGCTCGACTCAACTCCACACTGGTGATACCTCAGCTAGAGTACTGTGTCCACTTTTGCATACTGCACTTTAGGAAATATGTGAACAAACTGGAGAGAGTCCAGAGGAGAGCAACAAAAATGATAAAAGGTTTAGAAAACCTGATTTATGAGGAATGGTTAAAAAAGCTGAGCCTGTTTTGTCTCGAGAAAAGAAGACAGAGGGGACCTGATAACAGGCTCAAGGGCTCACACAGAAAGGACGATGATCAATTGTTCTCCATGTCCACTGGTGGTGGGATAAGAAGTTGTGAGCTTAATCTGCAACAAGGGAGACTTAGTTAGAAAGTTTTTCCTAATAGCTAACCTATGAGGATAGTTAAGTTCTGGAATAGGTTTCCAAGGGAGGATGTGTAATCCCCACCAATGGCAGTTTTTAAAAACAGATTGGCCAAACCCCCGTCCTGGTTGGTCTAGGTTTACTTGGTCCTCCCTCAGCATATCTGGATTCAAGACTAAGCTTTAAGTTTATGGAGGGGATGGTATAATGGGCTAGCCTAATTTTGGCAATTAATTGATCTTTGACTATTAGCAGTAAATATGTCAGCCAACACTGCACAGAGCAGAGTCCCTCATGTCCAGGAAAGCAGGATGGAGGCTGTGAATAGCCCAGTTTCCCTCACATGAAGAGTCCAGCCAGGGTGAGGCGAGGAAAGGAGGTGTCCCTGCAGCCAGCCAGTGCAGAACTTCCAGACCCAACAACTGGCCTGTCTGTGACCTCAACCTGCAGAAAAGCCCCAGGAGGGGACAAGCTGCTCCTCCTGCCAGCAACTGGAGACAGCTCCTCTCTCCTGCCACGGCCTGCAGCCTGCTAGCCCTGCAGCAGCCCACACCAGAGCTGGGATTTCGGATCCAGAGACCCAACCTGCCTGCAGCTGAACCCGTGGGCTCCAAGCTTTAAAGACTGGCAGCACCATTTCAGGAAGGAGTTGGTGGTTAGTCCTTCTCCAGCGATCCCCAGGAATCATTCGCTACCTGTGATTTATGCCCAAGACCTGCTGGCCTGCACCAATCTCTTGATCACTCAGCCAGGCAAGGAACCTGAGTGAGTGCCTGTGTTATAGTTAGCTATGCAGTTAGGGTTCAGTCTTGCACCATTAGAGCATACTGTAGCTGCAAAACGACTTTCATCTACTGGGATCATTGCAACCTGCACTGTCAATTCCCAGTATAATAAAGTAGGTTTGTAACAGCATCTCCTTAGAGGCCTGTGACGGGTCCCCAAATGCACCACCTCGGTCCTGAGACGTGGGGAACAGTCGGAACTGAGGGGGGGAGACACTTTTGGTTAGGAACATTGGGGATTCTGGGGTCATGTGACATAGTGTGCTTGCCAGCATCGCCTTTAGTAATTAAAAATGATTAATACCTCAAATTATTTAATATTTTCTCTGTAGTTAGGTTGATGCAGCCTCAGTGTAGACGCTGCATTGACTGTTCTGGCTGTCATCCCCGGGGTGGCAGGGCTCTGGCTCTCAGTCCCCCACAATGCTCCTGGTGAGGACACGCACCACCACCCCATGGAGATCATTGGGGTATTCGCTATTAGTTACAGGGAGAGTAAAACTGGCCCTTTTAAATCTCCTTCCCATTGCTCCCTGATTCAGCAGAGTATCGACTGTGGTCTCCTCCAGCAATTTATAGGTGGAGCCAGGGAGCCAGAAAGAGAATAATTTCTGACATATGCCTCTACGTGGTGGTGTGGCTGGGAGAGGCAGAAAAGGACCTAGGGGTTACAGTGGGCGAGAAGCTGGATATGAGTCGACAGTGTGCCCTTGTTGCCAAGAAGGCTAACGGCATTTTGGGCTGTAGAAGTAGGGGCATTGCCAGCAGATTGAGGGACGTGATCATTCCCCTCTATTCGGCATTGGTGAGGCCTCATCTGGAGTACTGTGTCCAGTTTTGAGCCCCACACTACAAGAAGGATGTGGAAAAATTGGAAAGAGTCCAGCGGAGGGCAACAAAAATGATTAGGGGGCTGGAGCACATGACTTATGAGGAGAGGCTGAGGGAACTGGGATTATTTAGTCTGCAGAAAAGAAGAATGAGGGGGGATTTGATAGCTGCTTTCAACTACCTGAAAGGGGGTTTCAAAGAGGCTGGATCTAGACTGTTCTCGGGGTGCCAGCAGGGGTGTAGCCAGGTTCTAAGAGCACGGGGAGCGAACACAGAAAAAAAAGGCGCCACCCGCTGCAGGAGCTGCCACCGCAGGATGCATGCAGCGGAGCCTGAAGACCCGGACGTGCTGGGAAGCGCCGAGTGAGTGCTCAGGGGAGCAGCCGCCCCCCTGCTCCCCCCCTACCTACGCTACTGGGTACCAGATGACAGAACAAGGAGTAATGGTCTCAACTTGCAGTAGGGGAGGTTTAGGTTGGATATTAGGAAAAACTTTTTCACTAGGAGGGTGGTGAAGCACTGGAATGGGTTACCTAGGGAGGTGGTGGAATCTCCATCCTTAGAGGTTTTTAAGGTCAGGCTTGACAAAGCCCTGGCTGGGATGATTTAGTTGGGAATTGGTCCTGCTTTGAGCAGGGGGTTGGACTAGATGACCTCCTGAGGTCCCTTCCAACCCTGAGATTCTATGATTCTATGATCCCTTCTAGGGTGTTCTGCTTCACTGCCAGAAGCCACACACCTCCTAGCTTGGCTCCGGTGTAACTTTCTTCATAAATTCTGAGCTGCATGCTGCAGTGTCTGTAGCAAAAACTCTGCGCTGTAATAGTGAGAATCTTTTGCTCCTCTGTCAAAAAATCTTCCTCCTCGCAGCGCCCAATCCCCAGCAGAGCTCCCTTAATGGCCGTGTGAGCACGGCCCTTGGAAATACTAAACCCTGGACCAAATACAGACTTGAGGAGTCACCACACCTTTGCTTCCCACAAACAGACCTTGACTGGCATGTGCGTGTGTTTGGGGAAAGGGACTAAAAGGGAGTGTGTGGATGATTAAAACAGATCTGCGACATTCATTCCAGTGAATATTCCCAGATGCTTCTTTGTTCCCGGACCAGAGAACAGGAGGCTGAGGGACCACACAAGATCTTTGTCTTCTCCACTACAAAGAACAAATCCCACTCACACAAAGTTTACTGTTGGGGAATAGCTTTATTTCCAGCAGGAACGTCCAGACGCAGCTGCGGAATGATTCCTGTGAGACAAGGACATGCAGCTGCCCCTCACCCTGCTAAACAGGCCTGAATTTCATTTCAGAGCGTTTAAGGGAATATTGGTCCCCTTTCCCTGTGCTCCAGAACACACCGTGATGAGGGGTTTTGTGTTCTCCCGGCAAATATCTCCCGTTCAGGTTGGACTGCAGGCAGTCCTTGAACCACCAGGCTCCCTCGTGGGACACAGCACAGTTAACTGAATTCAGACCATTGTTGCGGTCTTTGGTTGAAAACATCATGTCCCTATGGTAGGTTAAGGCATCACCTGTAACAAAGAGATGTAGCTTTCTCCAAAGTTGTAATACAATAACTAGCTCTCATATTGTGTTTTTCATCAGCAAACCTCAAAGAGAGTTACATTATCCTGATTTTATGGATGGGAAAACTGAAGCACAGGGAGGGGAAGTGACTTTCAAGGTCACCCAGGAGACCAGAGGCAGAGCCAGGAATAGAACTCCATTGTCCCAAGTCCCAACAGAGTGCGTGATGCACTAGTCCACACTGCCTCCCTCCCTGTAGTTCAGTCTCCCAAATGCAGGGCCTGGCCTTCCAGTGTGGGGATTGCTCACTCCCCCTGTGGGCACTCCCGACCCCTCACAGTACAGGGGGGAGGCTGCTGTTTCACTCTGGAGGCCTCTCAGGAATGGGGAGGAAGAGGAAACTTTTTACAACAGTGCTCCGAGAATGACACATTCAGTCTTGCTTACACTGGGGTTTTATGCTCAACTATCTGGATCCTGAAAACTACCCCTAAGCTTTACCGCTAGGGTCAGAACCAGGATGGCACAAATCACAAACTTTGGCTTCAAATCCAAATGTTCCCCAAGTTCCGGCAGCTTAGATCAGGGATTTTGGTTCATCCCTTTCTAGAGATGAGTCCAGCTACAAAGTCCAGTTCCCAACTATCCCCAAAGTTCTGGTTGTTCAGATCCAAGGGATATTTTTTGGCCACATTTCAAGCTAAAACTTTCAAACCCCTCTAAACAGAGGCCTTGTTCCTGAGCTCTCTAATCCCATTGATCTCAGTGTGACCTGACACTTTGGGCTGGGTAAGGGCCTCGGGATTTGAACTTTTGGCTGGTGACAGGAGGTGCTAGATGGAAAGTATAGAAACCTGAAGACAGTCTGGGTCCATGGCTCTTGGCAGAACCAAAACCCACCACTACAGGTTCAGGTTAGACCCTAGGCCCTGGCAAAGCTGGCACAGCAATGAGCACAGGATGTACTTCCTGCTCTGTGGGTTGATCTAAGAGCACTTCTGTGATTGGTGCCAGTGTCATGGGTCCTCAGTGGTGAGTGAAATTGGGAGCCATGTTCCAAGGGGATGATGTTCCCTCCCTGCCTTCATGGGAGAACTGCTGGGAAGGAGAGAGAGGGGAGGTGCTCATTACCCCACAGGGTAATCAGAGGGATAGAGCTGAGAAACTGCTCCATCCCGCTGGGAGAAGAAGAGGCGATGATGCTCTTCCTCCTCCTTTTGGTGAATCCTCTCCAATGCATTTCACTTCCCCCAACTGAACCCAGCTGTCGGAGGTTTCAGAGCATGTTCTCAGTGTGTGTGAGGGATGCCCAGGAATCCTGTTCATTAACCCAGTGGCACATAAGGGGCCTGGGACAGAGCTTTCAGGTGTTGTCTCGGAACCTGAGCATGTGCTTCTCGAAGTGGCTAATTTCAGATTGTGCAGACAGGGCGGAATTTACTTTGCTGCTGCCCCAGACTTCAGCACATCTCAGCTGAATTTGCTATTCCGTCTTAGCTGTGATCACAGTAAAACCCAGCCAGCACCTACCTGCTGTGCCATTGAGAAAGTCTCCCAGAAGCAGCTTATAGTTCTCAGATTCTCCTAAAATTTGGAATGATTTGTACTTGGCAAAATACTTCTCAGTTTCAAAATCCACGAGGTCGATGCGCAGCTCATTATTTCCTGTTAAAAACGGGAAGAATATCAGCAATTCCGTGTGTTCCACTAATATTTTTCAGCATCTGGGTTTGTTACATCATTCATCCACCAGCCTATCCCCATATGCTCAGACTGGGATGCCTTTAATAACCTAGTTTCATGCCCCTATCTCTCCTGTCCATTAGCAAACAGCGCTCACAGCTAACATCTGCGCTCCAGCTAAGTGATCAGAATCTATAGCATCCATCTCTCTATGGCCTCTGCCGGTACCAATCCACTGACAAAGCAGCAAGGGACAATTTCAGCTCCTGTCTTAGCTCTGATGGTTCCACGGATAGTCTTTGTTCCAGTGAGTAGGACAGAACGGTACATCTCCAGATCTGTTCACTTAATGCTCTGTAAGGTGAGCTAGCCTTGACCGGAGCCCAAAGAGCTCCTGTGTAATCCGTCTCAGAAGCTTTTCCTTGCAGGTTTCTGTGTGTCAGGAACAGCCAGTGGTGAGTCTGGGAGCAGTTTCACTACAGCTGGTGTGTACCAGCATAGTCCAGTGGACAGGATGCACAACTTGGACTTAGATATGGTCCTCATCATGGCTCTTCTACGACCTCATCTCTGCTTCCCTCAAATCGCCATTCACCAAGTGGGGTTAATGATACTTACCCTCCTTTGCAAAGCACTTTGAGATCTACAGATGAAAAGCACTACATAAAGCTACCATATTATCATCACTCTGGGCCATGTTACCAAGGAAACGGAGGGCATGGTGATTATATATATATATATATATATTAAATTGCATCTGTGATTTCTTACCTTGAGATGTTAGCAGGTGAATGTTGTCGTTCCCCAGCCAGAATTCCATCTGCTGGTTGCCAAAACCTCTCTTGTATGAGTCCCAGTCACGGAAAAAATCCTCTGAACCATCCACCCGTCTCTGGAAAACCTGCCAGGAAATTAGAGAACCTTAGGTGAAAAGATGGTCCCATTCATTTTAGCTGTATGTGAATAGCTGCTCGGTTCTTCAGTTCTTCAAGGACAAGTTGTCAGCGTAGTACGCACTATGGTTAATCAGAATATGTGTGAACATCTATGTAAGAGTTTAAAATGTACCCCATAATTTTGACATTCTTTTCATCAGCTGTTTGAGAAAGGAACAGCTGGTGAAAAGGGTGAAGCTGAAAGCCTTTCCCGTGACCAAATCTTGAGGTCCTTACTGAGTTTTTAGTCATTCCTTAATAAGGGGACATCCCATGGAAGAAAATTGGAGTTTGCCCTAGTGGAAGCTCAATAAGGCCCTTAAGATTTGGTCCAATGTAATTAAAGTCACCATCATCAAGATCCTTCTTAATATAATTGCACCGAAGAAATGGGCCCTGACCCAGCAGAGTTCTTAAGCACATGCTGAACTTCAAGCATGCGCCTCATCTCATTGGCTCAGACTATACATGTGCAGGTGAAAATCTCGGCAAGAGCTCATTGCCATCCTGAAACACACACACTTGTTCTACGCAAGGGCTCCTGGGGAGGCTCCCTACGCTCTAGTCTCACTTACAGTCCATCCGCCTCCATCTGTGGCCATGTCACACAGCACAGTCATGGCAGTGCAGGCCGAAGAGTAAACGGTGTACCAGCCGCTCAGCGTGTTCCCTCTGGCCAACAGCTCCTTGCAGCTCCTCGGGCCTGGGCAAAAGGGGCATTTAAAGCAGTAAATTATACTGCGTCTGAATGGTTTTACTGAGGCAAAGGCAACTTCTTCTGACAATGAACTGTTCTCAGGCTCGGGCCCTACACTGATTATTTTTGTATATATCCACCCCAGACAAAGCGTAACTGTTTTACATACACAGCATTTTCATGGGTTTGCTACAGAAACCCTGGCTACCATTGAAAAACAACGTCGCTACAACGTAAGTGTCTTTGTGGGAATTAATTTTTCAGCATCACACTGGAAATGCGAACTCCACCTTTCCTCAAATGGGCTCCCACGGCCTTTGAAGCTGGATCATCTGTTCTCTGGGCCAAATCCTGCCTGCCTGACTCCGGTGAGTGACTTTGCTGCTGGGAGTATTTCTTTGGGTAAGGCAAGCAGGAGTCGGCCCCTTGTCATTAGCAGCAGGTGTGTGTAACTGCCCCCCCTCATCATCCTGTCCTGCTAGCAAGGATAGAACTTCTTCTACTGAAGTGAAGGAAGTTTCCATACCCCTTGCCTTGTGGGCTGCCCTGTGAGGTAAGGGCCATGTCCCCTGCCATTACAGCAAACACTCACCCTTTTTACACAGCAGGTCTGCCAGCTCCTCCTCTGTGCAGGAAAAGGAACACAATGGCAGTGAAATGGGAGCACAAACAAAGCAGTGTGTTGTTTCTAAACAGCTGTTCACTCCTGCAGTTTAATAGTTCTGACTATTTATTTCAGACAAAATGTTTCAGAGGCAAAGAAAGAAAAAAGCCAAGTTAGAAAGAGACCAGCAGCTTAGCTATAGAAGGAAGTGGAAATTATGAAAGGAGATGTTTAAAAAAATGAAGCCAATCATTTCAATAGTTAAAGAAGACACAGTTAGGGTTTCCACTCTGTTTCCCTCGCCTTGATTTGTAAGACAACACACAGGAGCAATGAAATAGAGAGAAAGGACCAAGTTTGCCTTAACTGTGTCCTGTTTAACCTGTGTCCATTGCTAACCAGTGGACTAGCTTAGACTTGCTCTGATCCAGTCTTGGGGCCCGGTTCTTCCAGGCAATAAGCTCCTTCACCTCCCATTGGCTTCTGTGGAATAGGGGATGGGGTCAGCATGTGACGGGAGACACAGAGCACCTCACGTGTTGTGCCCTTACAATTAACAGACAAAACAGTCAACCCAACTGTCAGTCCACATGCAAACACACTGAGCAAACTGGCTGAGCCAGAGGAGGTCCAACCTTGCTCCCACTGATCTCAAAGACAAAACTCTGATTGATGGCAATGGGAGCAGGACTGAAGCCAGGATGGGAAGATTCGTACGAATCAACTAATTATCAAGTAAAAGAAATATTCCCTCTTCAGTGCACGCTTGTAACTGCTATTGAGGGGAGGTTCATTCACACATCAGTGGTGGCTGAACAGGCCCTGCCACGCTGTGCAATCGGGATAACAGAAACCAGCATCATGTCTGGCTATAGAGAGAGAATCTGGGTCCCACTCCCTGTGACTTAACCCCTGAAAATTCTCACTGCTTCCTTTTCCTCCTGAGAGCACCGTGGTGCTGGGTGCATGAGCTGAAGTGATTGAACTGGGGCCATGTGTTCCCAGGCAGATGCATGTAGGAAGTACAAGAAATCATAAGTTACTAATGGTCCCTCTCCAAAAGCTGAGGCAGTGAACAGCCAAGCTCCCCGACAGGTTATGATGCCTCGGGCCAATTTGCTACTTTAAAAAAGTGCCAGGCAAATGAACAGTATAAAAACAGAGAGACACACGGGTTTGGGGAGTGTTGTTTTTAAAACGCTGGAAGGACCATGGAAAATAGAAAGTATGAAACCTGGATAAGCAACAGAGCCCAGTGCACAAAAAATGCAGCTTCAAGCACTTTCCCTTTAAACATTTAGGTGAGCGTAGGTGGGGGGGGGAGATTGTGGCCCCCAGTTATTCACACACTTATCCGAGGTCTCTCACCTTTCAGTCCAGAGCTCCCAGGATCATCTTTTGTTCCTGATCACAGAAAAAATAATCAGAGATACGGGATTTGTTGTTTCGATTCTGTGAGCTCAATTCTCCTGTACAGGCACTGCCCTGATCTGGGCACAGCGTGGAGCCCTGCCCTGGTGGAACTCCATGTACGTCAGGGAAGTGCAGTGCCCCAGAGACTTTAAGAGTCCACTTGCTCTTCCACCCATGAAGGTGACACCGCATATGCATATCCTCTGGCCAGTGTGGCGGGGAGGGGAGGACATAGTCCAGCCCACCCAGGGCCGGCGCAACCCATTAGGTGACCTAGGCAGTCGCCTAGGGCGCTACAATTTGGGGGGTGGCGACCGCGGCAGTATTTCAGCGGCGGGACCTTCCGCCGCCTAGGGTGGCAGAAAAGCTGGCAGCACTCCTGATCCCACCACCTTTGTACAACATTAGCAGCCCAGAGTCGCCCAAGCCCTGCAGGGTCCTTGTCCCTCTTGCATGGAAGCCTGAGAGCAGGAAAAGCAGGTTGCACACGTACCTCCATCCCTTGCACTTGCACAACTGCCCAGAGGCTGGGCACATCTGGCCCTATGGTGATGGGCACTTTGGAAATAAGAGGTAAGGTATGGCCAAATTGAGGAATATGTAGAGGCGGGTAAACTAGATTGAGTGTGACACACTCGGGGATTTGCTACAATATAACTATGGTACCTGTTTCTAGCAATGGTGCTGCTGCCAGTGTAGACACGGCCCAGGCTTTTCATGACACGGTGCTAAAAACAGCTGAGCCCAGCCCTGTTGCTGGCCCACATGGAGGTGCCCTAATGGAGAATCTCAGATCTGGGTTTTTACTACGTTGGGCCCCACTCTCGGGGAAGGTAAATGAGTGTGAGTCTGAATTGGTGTAAAGGGAGCTGGGAGTAGTGAGTTACACCAATTTAGACTCCCTTATTAGCCTCAGGGTAGGTTTATACTTTGATCTAGGGGTGTGATTCCCAGGTCAAGGAGACAGACCCACTAACTCTGATCACACTAAAATAGAACGTAGCTACAGCGGCGGGAGCGGCAGGAGTGACCAGCTGCCCTGAGTATGTGCCCATCTCAGACCATGGGCATGTATTCGGGGAGGTAGCCTCTCCCATCGCATGTGCAGCAGCTGTATGTGCTGCTCTCTATTATTAGCATGCTAACGCAATCAGAGCTAGCACCTCCTCCAGCTGAATTAGGCTGGTAATCTCAAGGACGGAGGAAGTGCTCAGAATCGAGATTCCCTAGTGATCAGTTTTCCTCTTGGTTACCCCAATACAACCTTGTTGATTTCACGACGGTTATACACCATTGTAACTGAGAGGAGACCCTACCCCTCTGGGTTATGCATTGGGGAAATGTACCATGGAGGGAAGATGCAAATGGATTAAGAATCTCTCCTGCTATTTAATCACAGGCTGAATGAACAAAGTTGTTCTCTGCTCTTTGGTACTTTACCTCTTGCCCCTGGTGGTCCTCGTGGTCCAGGCATCCCTGGTTCTCCTGGTGCTCCAGGCATCCCTGGACGACCAGGCATTCCTACAAATACAGGAGTCTCAGAATTAATATTTGACAGCTGTAAGTTGCGGACGATATTTTAGGGTTGAACAAGGGAGAGGGAGAGGGGAAGGGCAGTTTCTACAGGTCACTCCCTAGTCCAGATTTCAAAAGTAGGGTTCGATTTTTCACTCTGCCCCTTTGGCGATGGCAATAGGAAGTGGGAAT